GGCCCACGGATCGGACGAGTCGATGTTTGACATCGCACACACACACAGGCACACGTACAAAGACAAAGGTCCCCCGTATAGCCTTAACAGACTGTAGGGGCAAGTGCTGTTAGCGAGCACCTATGAAGGTCGGCACGGTACACGAGGGGGTGGGTGGTCAGCAGTACCACGCCCGACCGCCTTTGTCTCCCCAGTGGCAATGTTTTTATCCACCGCACCAGGTACTCATTTGAGGCTGAGTCGACCTAGGGGAGGCCCGGGACCGGTTCAGATAATCGTCACCGGTGTTGGCCGTGAGCGGGAATCGAACCCGGGTCGCCAGGTTCATAGCGCAGTGTAGCGCTAACCACTACACCACCGCTCGTGTACACACACGCACACACCCACAGACACCTTACACACACCTTACACACACACTTTACACACACACACCTTACACACACACCTTACACACACACCTTACACACACACACTTTACACACACCCACAGGCACTTTACACACACCTTACACACACACTTTACACACACACCCACAAACACCTTACACACATACTTTACACACACAGACACCTTACACACACACACCTTACACACACACACTTTGCACACACCCACAGACACCTTACACACACCTTACACACACACTTTACACACACACACCTTACACACACACCTTACACACACACACCTTACACACACACTTTACACACACACACCTTACACACACACACACTTTACACACACACCTTACACACACACCTTACACACACACACACTTTGCACACACCCACACACTTTACACACACACACCTTACACACACACACTTTACACACACCTTACACACACACCTTACACACACTTTACACTCACACACACTTTACACTCACACACACACTTTACACACACCCACAGGCACCTTACACACACCTTACACACACACCTTACACACACACTTTACACACACACACCTTACACACACACACACTTTACACACACCTTACACACACACCTTACACACACACTTTACACACACACACTTTACACACACACCTTACACACACACACTTTACACACACACACACTTTACACACACACCTTACACACACACCTTACACACACACACTTTACACTCACACACACACTTTACACACACCCACAGGCACCTTACACACACCTTACACACACACTTTACACACACCTTACACACACACACACTTTACACACACCTTACACACACACCTTACACACACACTTTACACACACACACCTTACACACACACTTTACACACACACACACACCTTACACACACACACACTTTACACACACACCTTACACACACACCTTACACACACACACTTTACACACACACACACTTTACACACACCCACAGGCACCTTACACACACCTTACACACACACTTAACACACACACCTTACACACACACACACCTTACACACACACACTTTACACACACACACCCACAAACACCTTACACACACACTTTACACACACCCACAAACACCACACACACACACTTTATGCACACACACAGACACCTTATACACACACACACTTTGCACACACACACTTTACACACACACACTTTACACACACACACCTTACACACACACACACTTTACACACACACACACACCTTACACACACACACTTTACACACACACACCTTACACACACACACCTTACACACACACACACCTTACACACACACCTTACACACACACACCTTACACACACATACACACCTTACACACACACCTTACACACACACTTTACACACACACACCTTACACACACACACACCTTACACACACACCTTACACACACACTTTACACACACACACCTTACACACACACCTTACACACACACACCTTACACACACACCTTACACACACACACACCTTACACACACACCTTACACACACACTTTACACACACACACCTTACACACACACCTTACACACACACACCTTACACACACACCTTACACACACACCTTACACACACACACAGATCTCACAGTCAACAAGGCGGGCCGGCGCGGCACGGTAGCAACTATAGTAGTGATGGTGATGATGGTGGTGATGATGATGATGGTGGTGATGGTGGTGATGGTGGTGATGGTGATGATGGTGGTGATGATGATGATGGTGGTGATGGTGGTGATGGTGGTGATGGTGATGATGGTGGTGATGATGGTGGTGATGGTGATGATGATGGTGGTGGTGATGGTGGTGATGGTGGTGATGGTGGTGGTGGCGATGGTGGTGGTGGTGATGGTGATGATGATGGTTATGATGGTGGTGATAATGGTGGTGCGGGTGGTGGTGGTGGTGATGATGGCGATGATGATGGTTGTGATGATGGTGATGATGGTGATGATGGCGGTGATGATGATGGTGATGATGGTGGTGATGGTGGTGGTGATGGTGGTGATGATGGTGGTGATGGTGATGATGATGGTTATGATGGTGGTGATAATGGTGGTGCGGGTGGTGGTGGTGATGATGGCGATGATGATGGTTATGATGATGGTGATGATGGTGATGATGGCGGTGATGGCGGTGATGATGATGGTGAAGATGGTGATGATTATCATGGTTGTGA